AGTAATATGTTTATGTGTTATGGAGGTCTGCCTTCATAATATTTGGATTATGCTGGGGTAAATGCAATCCAGTATTGCCTGAGTGCAAACTGTTCAGTTTTCTCATGATAACTTCTTATAATAAAAATAAATTATCACCTTTGATGAAGTGAGAAGCATTGTACCATGTTTCTGAAGATCAGCTCTAGCTGCGGCCAATTGTTCACGGTGTCCGGCATCTTTCAAGTCCTACAGATAAAAACAGTTTTGTCACAAGATGTACAAGTCAAAACAAGACTTATCAAAACTATAAAGACCTTTAAAGTCACCATATATCACACCACTTTGGTTTTGAGAGAGACAACATTTTTGTGAATTTCTTTGTGGAATTTTCCTCACTGAAAATGTTGTAAGGTTCTTCAGACAGTGCAGTCTTTTGCTAACTTCAGTCACCACAAATCTTCAAGAGATTGAAGTGCAAACGTTTCTAATATCAAACATTTATTGGTTAAATCATAGTACTGTAAAGAAATGAATTTTCAAAAACAACTAAATTTGACAAAATCCCTGTCTCTTTATTTAACCCTGATTGTACCAGCCCTGTATAGTTTTGAATGATTTGGTAGGATTAGGGTTAAATAAAAAAACTGCTACAATATTTCGTATTTTCTGTGACTCAACAATCCTCAGTTAAAATTGGTCTTATTACAGATTATTAAGCAGATTACAGAGATTTTTTTTAAGCTTTTGAGAATTAAGTTCTTATAGCACAAACAGACATCAAAAAAAGAGTGTGGTACGTATGTGAAAGTATGTTAGGAATTAGAAGCATATTTAAGTATATAGTCAAACTTTGACCAGCTGCTGAAGTAATATATGGTGATTTGCAGGTTTAGAAAATAGAAAGCAAACACATCATTTCATTTTATATACATTACATAGGTGAGTTGAAAGACTAGCGGGAATGGAAGGTTTTTTTTCCTAAATGCCACTGTGGTGTTCAAATCATGAAATTCACAACAACCTACATGTATCTTCATGCTGTGTGGCATCAGGACATGGTTTTCTTGTATTCTTTGGTGTACCTACACAAGGCAGGTGACATTCCTGTAGTTAACCCTAAGAACACCATATTCTTGTCTTAATTTTATTTCAACATGTTGTGCATATTTTTGTAATTTTATTGTCAATTTAGGACCAAAATAATATACTATGCATTTCATGAAGGCATGAATTTGTTTTATAGACATTTATAAAACATTTATCCAGAGTTATTCTCATGATTTATTCAAATTCAAAGAAAATGCTTTCACTGGCATAGAGGCCATTTGGTAATTTCTATTATCCATAATTTTTTGCAGGTTTCCTTCAATTATTGCCCGAGTTACTGTCATAAACGCAGGAGATAGATCTCATCAAATTAGTTAAAAATGCTTGAAATTACAGTGATTTTTTCACTGAAATAAATTTAAAAGAATGCACATACAAGTACAACACTTTTGTTTAGCACGGAACATTGAATTGCAAAATGTATCTACGTTTGGGAAAGCAAGCGTTAAATGAATGTAATTCTATATAAGCTGTATTTATCTGCTAAGGCATGTGATTGGTCAAGTTGTTTTCAATCACCATTATAAATTTATGAAATAATTATAAAATAAATTCATTTATTCATGAAATGCACAGTAATTGCACATTAACCACAGGTCTTGATAACAGTTTTGGTCGAAATTATACAGGTTTATTTTGTGAAAGTTGGCAAAATTCGACTCTGGTATTCGTAGCGTTAACAACCCTTTCATTTCACAGGGTAATAATACTTACTGCTTGTCTGCCACCAGTCATCTTATTGAGTACGTTTGCATCTTGTCTATATGCTTTGTATCTGGAATCCAATTCATGTTCAGTACGTGCGTCCTTTATACCTCTCAAATCTTCTTTCACCTATAGATAAAATAAATGGTTTAAAGTGTATCATTGCAAAAGAATCCAGTATGGACGCTATACACGATTTGGTATTTTAATAAAATAGCTTTTTTTTAATTTTCCTAATTATGTATTAATGAATTATATTTCTTTTTACAAATACAATTGGTTGATTGAAATAAGTTATGGTGTGATTATATGTTGTTATTTGCTAATGACTCTTTCAGGCATGTGTACTGTGTAGTACAGTACCATTATAGTCATGAAACATTGGTATGTGTTTACAAGTGTACAAAAATGCAGTGTGTGACCAAATGTCAATTATAACTGACAGTCAAAAAAAACATGTGTCAGATTAACCCAGTGTTCAGTTGACCTGGGCTAGTTTAGCTCAGTGTGAAAGGTCTTGGCTCACTGCTTTAAACACAGAGGTGAGATATGTGTGAACACGGATTTAGGGTTAAAACAATACCCTGTAAACGAAGCCATGTTGTTATGGCTCATGACGGTCAAACTAGGTTAAATGAGAACAATGTAATACAGATACTGAAAAAATTAGTTTGTTTATTTTAACTTGGGGAACATCATCTAGATATTAATAGCACAGAAATTGATTTGTTAATAATTTCTCAGATAAGTTCAAATGTACATGCTCGAATGACAATAACAAAGATTTTGTTAAACCATAGATATTGAAAATTGAAAATAGAGGGACAGGCAACTGATGTCTTTTCTTCAACGTCTCTTGGGATGCTAATCGGAGCGTTCAAAGGAAAAGTTTACGTTTGAAATTTACACAATCCACCATGGAATCATAGGATGCTACTGTTTTTGTTGTTTAAAAAACTAAACTATTGTTTTTAATCCAGTAAGAAAGTAAACTGAAAATTAATCTAATAACCCCACACTTTATGTGTCATAGAGTAAAATATTGATACGTTTTTGAAAAAAATATGCAAACACTTTTTGATAATCTATTTTTTATTACTTAAAATATTGCGTATAAATGAGCTGTTATATGAATCACAGTCACTTGCAAAGCAAACTAAGAATGTTCTAAAACACTGGAAATAGGTTTATTTTGAGTTATAAGTGACTGTAGAAGGAATGTCTACTAGGCTGATTGAAACAAAAGTTACAGCCCGGATCTCAAAACAAACTGTGTTTTTTTTTCAACATATACCT